TGGCCAGGTCGGTGCGGGGCTGATGGCGGCGGGTCCGTGACGGGGGCGCGGGGTGGGAACCGGGACGTGCTGAGGGGAGTGGGGCCCCTGGGGGAGAGAGGGACACCCCGAGGGGAGCGGGACACCCCGAGGGGAGCGGGACCCCTGAGGAGGAGCGGGACACTCTGAGGGGAGCGGGACCCCTGGGGAGGAGCGGGACACTCTGAGAGGGCCGGGACCCTCCTCAAGTGCTGAGGGCGTTGGGGTCACCTAAAGCGCTGAGGGCAGCGAGACCCGCTGAGGGAAGCGGAGACCTCTGGGGGAGCGGGACCACCTTGAGGTGCTGAGGGGATCGGGACCCCCGAGGTGCCGAGGGCAGCGGGGCACCCTGAGGGGAGAAAGACTCTACCGAAATGCTGAGGGACTCGGGGTCCCTTGAGGGCATCGGGAAGAGTTGGGCAGCCCCTGAGGAGGGAGCTGTGTCGGGGGAGGCCGGGGTGTCCCACAGCAGCGTCCCGCCCGCTCCTGCACATTGAACTCGGCAGAGCCCAGCCCAGCCCGCAGCTGTGGGTGCCGTGCTCGGGGCCAAGGAAATGCCATTAAATCGTAGTGGTTTCACCGGAAGAATCCCTTAGGTGTAGATGGAGAACATTAAGGTCAAGGTTCCATAACAATGTGGGATTTTCCTACCTATACCTGACCCTGGCAACAAATTGTGGAGCTGAGGATTGAAGAAAAAAAAAAAACAACCGAACTTGCAGCTGTAGGCTGAGCAATAATTAAAGTGCTCAGGCAGGTTCTAGTCTTCATGCAGCAAAATGAAGCCTTGTTATTCGGGTTGAAGTTAAGTGTAGCATGAGCTGTCCTTATTTAAAAAAAAAAAAAAAAGTGCACTTCCAAGAACTTTAAATGTGGATTCCTGAAGTGTAGAGAACTAAGGACTTATGAAAAGGATAACTTTGCTCAGTTTTTAATGTCTGTTGGTAGAGCTGATGTATGTTTAGACCATAATTAAAGACAGTTCACTCAAGTGACTGTGTCGCTTTTTAAATAAAATTATAGAATGTAGCATTGAAAATGTTGAGCAACATAGTTATAAGGTGGTTTGTTCACAGGTAGACAAAAAAAATTGGAAAATAATTACTGATTGCTGCAGTTTGAGTACGTAACTTTTCTAATACTGCTGTTAGAATGACACTTCTGGATTTGCCCCTGGGTACAAGAAACCTTTGTGTGCATGAGTGCTCAAACCTGCCAACTTTCAGTGCATTCTCTAAATCTTTCCTGCTGAGAACTAAACACTGGTCTTGAGGAAATGAAAAGTGTCTGGGTTTTGTTCCAGGTGCTGCTGGTGGGAAAGATGAGGCTGAATGAGAGCCGGACAAGACCCTTCCAGGCTCCTGCCACTGTCCACACCTTCCCGGGCAGGCAGGTGTACGTGTTCCCCAATGGCCGGTCAGACTCGGACGAGTCCTCGGAGGAGGAACTCAACGTGATGGAATTGCGGCCCAGGGGCAAGGAGCAGCAGCGGGGCAGCACCCGGGACAGGCTGGGGGATGTGGTGCTTCTGGAGAGGGAGCTCACCGAGGAGGACAGTCTCAACAAGCTGGCCCTGCAGTACGGCTGTAAGGTGAGGTTAATCTGCGTGGGGTTAATCACCTCAGAGGGGTTTCATGTGAAGCGGTTTCCAGGGGGTGTCCTGGGGTCTGGTAGTTTGACATTAGAACGTGTTTGCCCTGTGTAAGAATGGTCATTGTCTGGGTAAAACTGGAGAAAGGCAAAAAAAAACCCCAAACACAAAAGAGTTGTTCAGCCAACAGCCTGGGAAGATATTGTTAGCCTCATACCCTGCCTGACCTGCTTTCCTGTTTAATTTCAGTGACTAAGTGCAGGTTGTACTAAGTTACTTCAGTGAGGGCAAACATTAGGGATCTGAGTGTAGAAATGAGGGCCAGGGCTCTGCTCTCACGGAACACTGGAGTTTTTGAAGTAAATTGAGCAGTACAAAGAAACACTACGGTTATGGGTGAGGTTTTTTATTTTTTGAAAGGTATCAGCTTACAGTTTGCAAGGAAGGCCTGAGTCTAACAGGGGTGGATGTGGGGAGGTGCCAGAGTTCAGTCCCAAAGTCCAGGTGGTGTCTGTGTGTGAGTTTTGGTTATTTGCTGTCATCCCAAAGTGTGCACAGTTCAGGTGCCTGTGGGCAGGAGGGAGGGTGTGTGCACAGTGAGATTTCTGAGTTGGACCAACTACACAACACGTTTTCTTTGTTCCAAAGAAGCAAACTGCTGGAAAGTTTAATTACCTGCTCTGAACATTAGAAGCCCCCTGTTGTTTAGCAGTTTGAGCTGTATTTTTAGAGCCCTCTCTATCTGCAAGCTGCACTGTGATTTCCCAGTTCCATGATGCAAACAATTGGCCAGTGACCGCAGCAGGGATAATGATACGGCTCTGGCTCCAGTGCTGCCAGGCCATTGCAGTCTGTCTTGCTTAACCACACAGCAGCTGTACGGTGCAGCTGAGGCAAGAGGCCTTAGAGGGATTGCAGCAATTCCTTCCCTGCCTTGCCCTTAGAAACAAAAACTAAACAAAAAAGGCGCCCTTGTCAGTTCTGCTGACAAGCCTGATGCGTGTGGAGAAGCAAGTCTGGTTGGACTTGAATAGGCCTTGATTGGCCCCAGGAGAGCCTGAGAAGGCAGAGCTGAGCTGTGGTTGGGTTTGGAGCTGTGTGCTGCTCTCAGCAGTGCCTGGGCAGACTCACAGTAGTTGGGTGAACTCAGAGGAGAGAGATTCTGAACAGTTCTTTGGTTTATGGTGTGAAGAGTCCTGCTGTGCCTCTGCACTGTCACTCAGAGGACCCAGTTCTGTCCCTGCTGTGGCTGTTCCTCTGCTGCCCCATTCTGGAGCCTTTCAGTCCCTCTGGAGGCTGCTGGGCCTGCCCAGGGGAAAAGCAAGCTGGAAGGGACCACATAGTCAAGTGTTCTGCTCCCACAGGAAAAAAACTGTCCTGCTTCCTCCCCCCTTCCAGAAAGGGCACTTCTGACTTGTTCCAGTTAAATTGAACATATACACAAATCCTTATTGTAGGACATTTGTCTATTTGTCTCTTTAAAGACTGGCATGACAGTTTTCATGTGTTTTCTTTTGTTTGCGCAATTAAACACCTCCTGAAAGATCACCAGCACAGCAGTGATAACTGTAGCCACAGATATATAGGCAAATGTGTGTAAAAATCCAGGATGAACTTCTTGAAATCAATGAGAATTTTACATTGGTTTCAGAATATGCTTGGGGAGAGGATATTAAGACAGTGCAACAAATAGTTCTGTGTGTGTGCCACAGATAACTTGGCAGAGATGCAAAACACTTCAAAATTCTCATTTTTACTCTTGACCATTTATAGTCCTGGCTTGCTTTTGGCATTGTTCTTAGCTGGGACAAGAGGAGCTCACTGCAGCCAAAAAAATGGGTACAGAAAATAAGCCTAAACGCTTGTGCAGCCCCATCTCTTGCATGCTTTCCATCAGCTTTGTTTGTTGTTTCTGTGTGAGTGCTGCTCTACTTTCTGTTTCTAGAGTCTTAGCACCACACTGCAGTATTTGATTGCAGACACCACGGGGGATATTTACTGTCCCAGTAATTTGTTTTCATTGGAACAAATCCAGAAATTGAAGCAGCACCTCAGTTAGGAGGCTCTGGGTGAGATTGTTATTTCATAACTAAGAAATTTTGCCGGGTTTAAGTCCAGAGTTTACGCTGGGGCCAGCTCTGAGGAGCCTGAAGCAGCAACTGAGGATTCCTTTTGCTTCAGGGTCCCCAGATTAGGTCCTGGATTAAATGTGCCATTTTCAGAGTTCTCAAATTTTGCAGAGTAAACATGAGATTCAGGCCTCCATCTCATCTCTCCCTCTGAGCAGAGTGCTTAGGAAGTAAAGTGGGGTTTTTTGTTTCAGCTCCCCAGTTTCCTTGGCAGCCTCAAGCTTGTGAGTGTGCTGTGAATGCAGGTCATGCTGTAATTTCTGAAAAGCAAAGCATTCCCTGTACTGTGTCTCTTTGCTGTGGTGGATGGGAGGTGTTTTACCTGTTTGTGTTGCCTTTCTCTTTGGTTTGGCGCTCGCTGTTTTCTTATGTGCCCTCCAGCCATTTCCTCAAGGTTCTTTCACGTCTCCTCAGCTGCAGTGGAGAGCTCCTGGCACACACTGATATCCTGTTCCTTTTCTTTGACAGAGGGTTTAGTGCAACTGAGAAGTTGCTGTGTTTACTGGGAGGCTGTGAGTGGCCACTGGATTAAGCATCTTCTCTTAGTTAATGTTAACCTTGCCTTTGTCTTTGCATTGGTACCGCCTGTCCCTGTCTGATGCTCCACATGTGGCTGCTTCTTCCTTGCTCTTCCTGCTGCTGGCTGTGGGTACAGCTCACAGACAGGATCCCTACACAGGAACCACCAGAGGTGGTGACAGGAGCACAGAGGTGATTGTTGTTCAGCAGGAGCACTGAGCAGCTCAGGAGGAATGGGCTGGATGAGCTGCTGTCCTGCAGAAGAGAGGTGCTGCTTGAGCACAGGATGCTTGCCTGCTGCCTGAGCAAAATTCAGCAGGTACAAGAGCACTAGGGGAGTTTGTACAGGTTTTAACAGGGTCTAACTCTATCCTGCAGGACCTGGAGCTCCCCTGGAACTGCTGGAGAATCTCTGTAGAACATCAAAAACCACTTGCATCCTGGGCCTGCTTTTGTTCCCTGATGGCTCCTTGCACAGTGGTTTTGGTTTAGCTGCTTCCTGCCTCACTCCTGGGTTGTCCTGCCCTCACTGTTCGTGTCCTTTCTGGATTCCGTAGGTTGCGGATATCAAACGTGTCAACAATTTCATCCGTGAGCAGGACCTGTATGCGCTGAAGTCCATCAAGATCCCGGTGCGGCCGCACGGGCTGCTCACCGAGAGCGCCGGGGCCCTGCGGCCGCCCCCG